AATAGTTAGGTTACTGAAATAATTAATTAATATTGTAATGACAAAATGTAATATCATTTAAGATTTATTTTCACAACAGATTGCAATTAAAATAATGTAAAGTTTAAAATATTCACAATTTTGATATTTCCAAGTAATGATCACAACTGCAATTCTGCAATTAATTTAAAAATCAATTAATTGAAATGTTTTTATAGCAAAAAAATCTGTTGTGAAAGTAAATCTTAACTGATATTACATTTTGCCAATACAATATTACTCAATTATTTTAGTAACCTACCTATTGAAATATTTCAAAAACCTTATTGCCATGCGAACTGTCAATTTGTGCTTATGGGAATCGGTCACAGTCACATGTCATTTTTTGAAGCGGCCACAGTGCCGTGTCGGCCACTTGCGGCCAACTTCTGTTGGTGCGTTTCTACTGACTAACCCTGTATATATATTATGCAACGTGGTGAATTATTACAATGAATCCACAGTACTAATGTCGACTACAAGAAATTGTTCTGTACATTGTAATTTTATACCGCATATACCAATGAAGTACCTAAGAGAGTTAACAAAATTTACCGAGAACGTTTGACTACATGATATAAGGATTGCATGTTAACAGTTGAATAAATACACATGCGCTTGCTTATGTATATATAATATACCATGCATAATATACGTATCTGCTTTAGCTACTGCACGTAAGGTCAGGCAAAACTTTACCACAAGAAATTGTCTACCCGCTAATGAGGAGGTCAAAGTGGCAATTCACGCGTGTGAACTAGAAGAAACTAAAAGAAATAGGGTTGCGCAGTTGGAACGGAGAGAAGGATTGAGAGAAAGAAACTTTTCGTACTCCGACGCAGATCCCAGTCGAAGGTGAAAAGTTCCTCCAACTTTGGGCGTTATCACGCAACCAAGGGAATTTACCAACATCCCCAAGGAACTGTCTTGTTTCCCAACAGGCGCAAAGACACCGATCAAAGGTTCTCCCTTGCATACAGATATACCTACATACACACACGATTCTGGGTACTAAGAGAAGTTGAATAAAAAAATTCTTTTACTCTTTCTCAATCCAACATTAACCTTTAGCAGAACCAGCTGCCCTAATTGATACGAAGGTGACGTCAGATAGCTCCAGGGTCAATTCCTAACTATTGTCTCCCACGAAACTACACGACAATAGGCTGATATATGCCCCGAGGGAAATGGGAAAATGCAGCGAGTCTTTAAGCGGCATGCACACCAAAACCATAGAGATGTTCATGATCGATAAAGTCACTCGTGGCTTCTACGTCTATTCAGCGATTTCCTGCGATTCCGCGACGCGGAAAATACTGAGATAAGGAAACGAGTGGAGAAACAATTTTTCTTCGAGAAACGATTCTGAACGAGACTCAAGACTTTGACGATTGCTTACCTACGCACCTGAAATCGCATTGAGAATTCGAATCCAATTACAGCAAAGCAACGATTCAGGTACAATTCATGATTGCTCGACCATTAAAGGCAGCGTCAGCCACCCAAAGGAATTAACCCGTAACGGCACCCTCGTTTTCATGATACCCTTATTCCCTATACCTATACACGTGTATATACAGGGTGACCCACTAGAAGCCGAACACCTAAATATCTCGCGGCTTTAGAAAGATTCGTAAATACGTTAAAGACAATCTCATTAATTTCAAAAGAATTGTTTTTTACAATTATCAAAATCCTCCGTATTTCTTTTGAAAAATTAAAATTAACAAACTTCAATCATGCGTCGCGCATTCGTATTTTTTATAACTCTAACTTTATAATAAATATCGTATAGATTCTATTTTCCTTCGAATAATTCACCCTTCACGCATATGGATACGCGTGTAAAACCACTCGATTTCGCATTCAAAAGTCCAGATTCTCCATAATTATTTATACCTCGTATACTGTGCTCACTTCGTGTATATATAAATATAAAAGATTATATCCCGAGGCCATACAGTAATATACCATATATACCAATCGCCAAATTACCACTGAGTCCATAATCATTTCCAACCAAACATACCCTTCGGTATCTCTGCTTATCGGGACGATGGATAAAAGCCTTCCGTAGCCGGAAATACAAAACCCGTATATGTTTCACTAGCTTTATTTACATAGTAATTCTCACAGTAATAAAATCATATAAAGATTATAACAATCAGCAATATCATTCGATTGGCAAACAATCGTTTATACGTAAGTGCGAAGGATTGCTATAATAGTTATCAACTTGCCCAAGGGGCCATTAATGAAAATATTACAAAAGGTATAAGGGTCAACGGTGTGAAGCGATTTAGTTCACTACTGAATAATATGAATTTTCATTTATGGCAATAAATTACTCATAGTTTTGGTTGGATTTTGGTGGGTAATATTAATGACGATGTAAATGCAGTTGAAAGCTACAAATATCATAACGACAATATATATATATATACATTGCGCAGAAACCGGAAATGACGTAACTCAAAATCGAATCGAGTGGAAAATGGGAATGCAAATGGAAGTCGAGC